AGCAAGGACGCTACTAGGGGCTCCTGGCATCGCTACTAGGAGCAAGGACGCTACTAGGGGCTTTTGAAAACAGAAACATGACACTGTTTATCCGCTCTTCGAGTCTTTCGATTCCAAAACAGTTTCTTGAATGGTTTCAATTTGGTTGGAGTCGGAGGCCGTCGCTCTTAGGTTGGGGTGGAGGATCAAAACCATTCGGTGGGAAGTCGGCTCCCCCTAAACTCAATGTTTTGTCGTTCCTTTTGGCATTCCAACTGGTTCGACAGTTGGGCCGTTGGAAGGTGAGGCTCACCGACAGTTCGGCCGTGACCACCTCGTTCGTGCTTCGTTCGCTCATGCCGCATGTCAGTCCTTGTAGAAGTCACCAATGGGAATGTTTGCCAGCTGGGGATACTTCGTAATGACTTCGCATAGGCGCTGCTTCGATCCTGACTTCCGGTTACCAGGTCCGCATCCATTCTGGGACAAACGCGATTGACATCGAAGGACTGAAACTCTAAAGTTCTAAAGAAGAAACACCGTCTTTAAAAAGAACGAACCTAGTTGAAACTTGAAACTCTAGATTTAGGTTCCGCTCATAGTTCTGCTCATTTCTTTGTATTTTTGCAGGTGAGGCTCCCAACACGTTAATCAGAGCCGGCAGGGACTCACGCAGACGCTTCGGGTTCTTCGTCAGCAAGTAGGGGCATTCAAAAACTGCTTCCCTAGCTGCCTCAAATGCAAAACAATGGCAAGCATGATGGATGTCTGACCAACAGGCCTCATAACCCAAGTAGATCTCCAGGTAGTGAAGAGCATTCCTCGCCATTCTTCGAGGCCACCGCAAGATGGATGGCTCATCCTCGCAGTATCACGCAAACAGTCCAGGCATGACCACCAGGTAGTCAGGGTTAGCCTAGCCCATCCAAGTTCAATCAAGGCTGAAGAAGCCACCTGAAGGCTTAAGGCCCCGAGTTCTTTCATGTTTCCTGGAAGGCCCCTGTTTTGTCCATGATGCAACCTTGACGCAACCAAAAGGTGGAGGTTATCGCTATCAGGTTGGAGGCCATTGTTATTAGGTTGGAGGCCATTGCTATTAGGGGATCATGCGCTTTCTCCTCTATCAGCTGGTTGACGAGCTCCGGGCTCTGAAAGACGTCAACAATGTCCTCCCAGCGCCTTATGAGGATGTGCTCCTGGAGGCGACTCTCAGAGCTCCCAAGCTGAGTTTTCTATCAGATGTGGTCGTATGATGTAGTGAGTCATATGACGTCATATGACTCATATCTACCAGATTTATGCAGATTTGCTATCAGAAAATGTCACACTCACAGCTCCTCTGTGGTAACTTCTGGAAAGGTCCGCTGAAAAATGTCCAGGGCAAAGTCTGCCTCCTTGGGCACAGGCCGCTGGAAGCCTGGGCAGACATCGAGGTTCATGTTAGCTGCTATAACAAGAACATCCGTGCGCTACTTCACACCACCTGTATTGAAGGTATTTGATGAATCTTGCGGGATATTGAGTCTTGTTCATTTGAGTGCCCTTCAAGAATCTTTAATGGTCCAATCGAACTTTGTTGGATGGTAGTTGTGCCATTTCCTGTAGTTTCGGAAGTTCTGGTGGTTGCCGATCGCTTATCAGCAAGCTTCAGGAGGGTCAATGTTCAAAAGGCGAGTTTCAGGGGACGCTACAAGGGCTCCTGGCCATACTACTGGGAGCATTCTTACTACTAGTAACAAGCTTCATTCAGGGTCTACACCTGGAAGCCATGTGACCCGTTTGAGGATCACGAAGCCGATTGGTTCGCTGTCGGATGGCCAACGGTGCAGGCGGCGGCCTGCCAGGGCTGAAGACTTCCGAAAGCTACCACGTGCTGATTTCGGGTAGTCAACCAGGCAGCAATTAGCACCTCATAGGCTCATAGGGGTTAGAAGCAACCCCGAACCGGGCCCCAACCTTCTTCCAGTGGTATGGGACACTTAATGATTTAGCATTTATCATGCAAATAAAGTTGGCTCATAGCAACCTTTTGGTCGCCCAACGGGTCCTCTTCACACCCGCAGGCAGCATCAAAGTCCGGTCATAGCTGAACAAAAGGGCCAATGCCACGATGCCACAAGTCCTGGCAAGCTTACAGAACATTAGATATTTCTGTAAGAACAACATCACTACCTATCACTACATATTTTAGTTCGCTTGACTCTGAATTCTTACTCGAAGCAGCACCTCTCCTGGCAACATCCCAAGAAGGTGGCTTCATCTGACAATCATGGCGGGTAGAGTTTGATCTCCACAAACTTTTTGGCCCAGCTCGAGCCAAGGAACTGTTTGCAAACAAACACAAATCAAGCTCCCCGAGCATCAACATGCATGCTCAAAGCGGACTTGCATATGGCATATGCAAGGTTCTATTATGCCATCAACAGGCTTTCAAACGCCTTGCTGACCACCCTGCAAAACAACGACAAAAATGAATCAGCTTGGTTGTCCTGCCTCTAATGGTGAGACGTTCTTCAGGACCTTGGAGACGTTCTCACAAGAGTTTGTATTCCTTTTACCTTTTTTTTTCTTTAAGAAGCTTGAGAACTTTATATAATGAACTTTAGGTTTGTTTTTCTTTTTGTTCTACCTGTCATTCGTTCTTGGTCCTGCAGGTCACAGGAAAGTGGTTCTTGATAGTTCTTTCGCCGCAACAAAGATGGAAGCAACAATGAAAGCGACGGTGCTCTTGCCAGAAAGCTGCCAGCGGTTCAGACAATGGATGGAGCGGACAGTTCCGCTCCCACAAATAGCCTTAGAGCATGGCCAAACACCTGTTTCTGAACATGTGAGTGAGGAAAACAGGCAATATCTTGGGAGCCAGTCCAGGAAATGAATCGATTCTCAAACATCCATGCAAGCACAATACCGAAGAATCGAAATGACAGGACCCCCACGTGTTTAGTTGGACGCCATGTGGGCCAAATGCAGCAAAAGCACGGAAGCACACGCTTGTGGCAGATAGCTCAAGCAAAGGCAGCACCTCGGTGGTCCAGTCAAGAAACCGGAAAGAACTAGTAGCTCCTCTCTCCTATAGTAACAAGGGCATGACTATTACTCCTAGTAACAAGGGCATCGCTACTAGTAACAAAGGTAACGAAGGGCATTACTCCAAGCAAAAAAAGCGAACGCACTGCCCTTCAGCTCGGTTCAGGCGCGAAGTTGCCACTCAATTCAGAGCGGAAGATCACTTTGCCCTTCCGATCATCACCACAAAGCCTTGCGACATGATGCAGCTACCCTTCCCTGTCAAAACCGTCGCTAGTAGGTTGGAAGCCATCGCTATTAGGTTGGAGACCATTACAAATAGGTTGGAGGCCATTACAATTAGGTTGGAGACACAGTCCGCACACTGTGAGAATATGCTATGCCAGGTGGCTCGTTGCAGGTTAGCGTGTCCACCAGCGAGCCAGGCTTTGGGCTCGAAGCATTGAAAACAAAGCGGAAAGCGCACTTGCCATCCAAAAGCCTGAAATGAGCGCTAATCAATCTATCTCTCTCTCTCTCTCTCTCCCCCCGGCAGGGATTGAACATCAACAGCATTGACAGTTTCCTGAATCAATGCAAAACGCTGCTCGACTGTTTTCCACGGGTGGGTGAAACATGTCAGCAAGATCATCTGGCTCCAAGTGTCCCAATGAATCTTCCGATGTGGCCCTTTCTAAGGTATCCACACGTGCGCAGCCCTCGGCTTTGAGTGCAATCTTCTGCGCAAAGCTGAAGAAGTCGGGTGGATCCCCGAGCTCTTCGTCAAGGAAATCATCCACTTCCGCCTCTTCCTGAAGCTTCGAAACACTTCGGAAGACATCCCGAGACGCTTCGGAATGGTGAGAGCCATGAGAGCTTGCAGTCGACTTCGTAGATTTCGGCATTGAAGTGGGCCTCTTCATCGAAGCGAAGAACACGCTCACCCCTTCAGAGAAGTTGGAATGCAGCTCCGAGTGAACCTCCTCGGCTGGGGGACTTGGCCGAAGGCGACGCTGGAACAAGGCGCTGAACTCGGACTCGGAGCCTTGAGGGCCAGTGGATTCTCCAAGCGGTACAGCCACGGTGTCCATTGCCTTCTCCAGCTGTTCCTTCGGTTCCTTCTCCTTCTCCTTCCTTGCCTTCACCCTTGGGTTCGGTGCAAACAAAAAGTCCAGCTCGTCTTCGGCTGCTTCGACTGGATGTTTGGCCAAAGGTTTGAACAAGTCGTCTAAGCCATCATCGTGCTTCGCCAATGACGCCTTGTGGTGCTCTCGTTCTCTGCCCTGTGGTGGGGAATGAGCCCCTTGGGGATCAAATCCCAACACTTCAGAATGATGCATCTGAGGCTTCCCGAGAATTGCAGCACGCGCCGTCTGCGCTCCTTCAAGATCATTCCTTGCTTCAAGATCCGTGGAATTGGGCGCTGGCACTGCAGATTTCTTGCCCCAGGACTTCCCACGCCACCGTCTCCAAAGCCAGTGGATGGTGCAAGGAATGCAAATCACCGAGGGTAGGCCAACCACAACTCCCAAGATTGCTTCAATGGCTCGAAGGTTTGCAACTGATGTAGGAACACATGTTGCCTCGCCCGACTTTAGTTGGCAGGGGCTGTGAATTGGGCACAGCTTTTCCTGGCATTCTGGACTGTCATGACCAGGTGCCTCCAATAATTCCCGCTCTGACATAAGGAGTGATACGAGTACGCCAACTAAAATGATGTAGGCTGCAACAAAGAGCAAGTAAAGGCAAGTGCGAATCCGTTTGCAACACCTTGACTTCTTCTTTCGCTCTGGTTGAACCTCTGGCGGCCCTGGCGCTTCAGTGGCTTCAAGAATCTGGTTCCATTCGACATTCCAAGGAAAGTTTCCAAGGTCATCTCGGGAGCTCTGTGAAATTCTTGATCGTTGTGAATATCGAGAATGTCTCTTCTTTCGCTCGTTCGATCGTTGGCTGTCCCGTCGTGCTTTGGGATGCTTCTGACGCGAATCGAAGGCATCCTCTGGATGCCGCGAAGTCATCTTCCTGGCCTTCTGACCAATCTGACATCGTTCGTTGCATCGCCCACATGCACACGAACGGACATTGAGCGAGGTTCGTGACACTGAGGTTTGTTGGTTTGGGTGTGAGCGGCCGCAGAGGAAAAAAAACGGGCTTTGTGCCGGACTCGCGTATGGCCTGTCATGCTACAAAACACAAAACTAGCACACAGGCACATATGCAAAGAGCTCCATGAGCCTCTACCATGCATTGCTGGAAGACTGTAATCCACAGATCTGTTCAACGAATGCGCAGTGGGGCGCCCGGCAGAGTATCTGGAACCACGGAGAAGACAGATGTCTCACCTAGCAATCCGGGTTCTTGACAATGCTACTAGTAACTTCGTGCTCCTAGTAGTAATGCCCTTGAAATTTGATATGTCCACAAATCCACCAAATCCACCAAACCAGGGTGAAAAATGTAAGCCGCCCCCCTCAATTTGAAACATGTAATATCCACTTTGGGGTGCCCTGGACTTCTACCTAGACTGTGTGTTTTGCTGCATTTCAGCCTCCGCACACTGGGCCTAAGCGGGGGGTATGATTGCAATATCAGCTCGTGGGTGAAATTGAATACTCTCCACGAAGTGTATGTGCTGGGAAATGCTGGCCCCAAGACGGGGGAGGGGGTTCAAAGAGCAACAAGCTCAAATAGCGGACGTCAACTCCATCTCTTATCCCTTTGAGACCCTCCCTGGAGCCATATCTTGAGGTACATCATGGCACATCGAGACTCAGAAATCAGTGATCCGCAAAAGGTCCCAACCGCCAAGGGGGGAAGTGATGTCAAACATGCTTTCCACCAGAGGGCAATCGTTTCGCCATAAGTCAATTAAACTGCCACATTGGCTTCTTGATTCTAATAGCCAACATTGTTACTACTAGTAAGGCACTTGTTACTAGTAGCGATGCACGTGTTTCTAATAGCAATCGTTTCGCCAATCATTTGTCCGGCAGTTGGTTCTCTTGACCCAGCTTTGCCCCTCTGAAGGAGTAAGCTGAGTGCTCACTGAGTACTCAGTTCATGCTTCTTCCAGCAAGACCGGCCTTCTTCCAGCTTCCGCTCCTTCCTCTTGGCCTCGGTGGACCTTGAGGCAGTGTCTTCTTCTGTATATGGACACCCAGGAACACAAACAAAAAGAAACTCAGCCCAAAAGCCACTTCAATACCAAGAGGCTCTAGTGTCCATACAAGCTTTCTTGGTTGCCGCCCTCTGTTTTCTATCACAAACTCCTTGGAGTGCGTCTGTGTGGTGTACTGCGTCCCAAAATCGATGACCTCCAGCCTTAAGCGTTGCAGCTTGAGCATCGCCAATCTCAGACCTGGTAACCCCACACTTGGTCACTTGTACGTTTGTGCCCTGCTTGAAGCTAATTTGAAGGCCATCGCTATTAGGTTGGAGGCCATCAATAGTAGGTTGGAGGCCATGTCTAGTAGGTGGAGGCCATCGCTAGTAGGTTGAAGGCCCAGATTTGAAGGTTCTGATTCCCTCAGTCTCTCTCTCTCTCTCCCTAGCGTCTTCGGACCGAAGTATGCCCCCCTGCCAGGCTGAAGGACGAGCACTTCTACATCCTTCAGCCTAAAAGATGCCGTCTGCCCGGTAATACAGCGATCTTCCGTAGGACCAATGACTGCTCCTCAAACACCAAACGCACCCTCTAGGATGCGACCCCCCCTTGGCCGTTCGAAAGCCACAAACCGGTCGCTTCAGACACAGCAGCGGCTCGCGACACATCACTGGAGTTCCAATGCCCTTGGCCCTCACGGTCACCGCCACATCGTTGCTTTCGTGCACAATGACCTCAAAGCATGGCATTGGCAAAGAAAGTAGCAGCACCTTCTTGTAAGTTCTGGCAAGGCCGCAAGGGGTACTTCAAGACCAAAGACCTCTTACAGGGGATACGGCACCTAGAGAAGCACGGCATCGCAAGTGCCCAGCGTGCGCCAAAGGATGATTTAGGAGGTCGAATGCAGTCTCTCTCAACCCTAGTAGCGATGGCCATAAGACTTGCAAAAAGGATCACTAAAACAACAAATTTAAGAACAGGTGTGACTCCGGTGTGACTCGTGGTTGCAAAGGCCCCTTGTATGCCTTTGTGATCCATCAATGTCAAGCTGCATGGACAGTATCCGTCATCTTGGCAACCTCATCGATGGTCAGAGTCATGTTCCTGCAGTCGCCAAAGACTAACACATCTCCAACGCACAACACCCGCGCAGTTTGGTTCTGAGCTTGATGTGGACTTGCAAGCAATGGAGCTATTGAAGTCCAAAGTATGTGCTTCTCATGTTTAACCCAGTTGAGTCGAACGAATGTTCAAAGCTGAGCTTCAGGTTTGCGGAGCCATGTGGTGGAAGTTCCATGGCTTTGGGCGACAACGTCCAAAGAGAGTTCTTGCTCTTCATAATGCATCGTATCTTAGGAAGAAAGGTGCGAAGAGCTGCAATGCAAGGACCAGTTTGTGAACATCAGGCGGCCTATCTGCAACACCTTTGCCTTTTGCAATTCTTCGGCCCGTTGCCGGTCACCAAGACACGGAGGCAGGGATCACGCTGTTGTTGGTGACGAGCACAGATCTTGTAATCGGCTCCAAGCAGTGTGAGTTGCCCCAGTCTACGACGCTGGGCTCCACGTTTACAATCGGTCCAATGGTGTTGGCAATCAAGATCAAATTCCCTCACATCGCAGAGATGTGAGAATGTGAGAGGCTTGGCTCAGGGTTCAAGATCATGTAAGGCAGAGGCTCACTTTAAGGGGGCTAGGGCGGGTAGAAAGGCAGGTATATGAGGCTAGCTGCTAGCAACCAGTAGCAGCTGCCTGGATACAAAGCTCGGGGCTCGGGTTTTTCAAGCCCCTGTCCCGTCCGCAGCAGTGGGGGCGAACCCGCGGCTCCCAGGCTTCAGGAAAGTACACCCTGACACACTTGGTGTTCCAAAATTGTAAAGATATAAAACACATTGTGCTTTTAGATTGACATAGATTGACATTTGCCAAGGTTGCACCACGAACTTCAAAGAGATCCCAAACGAGCTGATTGCAATCAGGATGCTCGCTGAACTCTGTCCCAGGATCCGTATGGTAATGGGTATCTGCAGAGTGCCAATCACTTGTGAAGTGAGTGTGAAAGTAAGGACCTCGGCTGCACGTCCTCTTGGAAGATTAAAGAACAAAATGCTATCCGATGCTATCCCTCTTTCCTGCTCCTTTTCTGCTCCCAAGCTTTCCGCCATTTACAAGTAATCCATCGACCCTTCGGCCATCATGGCACGCAAAGCCGGGCGGCATGTGAGGATGCAGGTGGCACTGAGCCGAAAGACTGGTCTGGCTCGAACTCTGCAATGGCCCGCCTCCACAAGCATCAAAACGCACCAAGCGTGACAGGCATTGTAGGTTGGAGGCCGTTGGTATAAGACTGGAGGCCATCGCTATTAGGTTGGAGGCCATCGCTAGTAATGCATTCGAACTACATCGGAAACATCAGAAATGCCTTTCTTTCCATATCTTTTTGGCATGTCTTCGTGTCAGTTTGTTTGATTTGGTGGTGCATGGTGCTGCCATCTCTCTGGCATTGGCGACTCTAGCACTCTAAGGTGTAGACGTGGTCTCTTCTTGTGGCATGATCTGAAACTTGGCCGGCAAGGCTGACGTGTTGTTCAGCACCTGCGCGCGGTGTATCTACATCAATTGAACTGAGAGACTCATGCAGGGAGACTGCAGCTTTGAGTATTGCTGGGGTTCGGGCCATCGTTTGGTGGGAAGGATAACGGATGAAAATATCACCTCATTGTTCCAACGGGCTTTCACACAAACGCTTGGCTATGACATGTGTCAGTCACCATCACTCAGAAGACCATGAAAGTTGTGGTAGAGCATTCCGCAAAGTCGCCGTAGTCCACGTGCTCTGCAGGTTCTAACGCCACTTGTGGCACAGCACAGCGAGCTTGGATAGGAATACTGGCCAGCTCCTGAACGCACCCATTTGGCGTGAACCGAGATGCATCGAACAATTGAACACAAGGCCTCCCTCCCCTTGGAGCCCTTCTTATCGCAAACACCCCTCACTCCCCTGGATCTGCCGGCAGCCCAAGGCCCTCCTGGCCAACACCATCCAAATCCACCACCAAGCAAAGGTCATAGGACTTCACATTCATACCTCTGATACATCTGATCGTGCCAAAACAGCTCGTTCCACAAGCCAAAGCATCTGAAGTGAAGTGAGGTCACTGAGGGCCGAGCTCACAAAGTCAATCTGAACCTTTTGCGCACAGTTTGGAAGCAGCGTGCCCTTGGGTGGGATCACGTCAAATTCTCCTTGGCCAGGGAAAAGACTGCACAAACTTACCCCAAGGAATGGAAATTCCTCGGCGTTGCATGGCCTCATTGGTATCGCCAAGGGCTCTTCTTGCTGCACTGGACGTTGACTTAGGAACCAGAAGCTACTAGGGGCTCCTGGCATCGCTACTAGGAGCAAGGACGCTACTAGGGGCTCCTGGCATCGCTACTAGGAGCAAGAAGCTACTAGTAACAAGAAGCGGCTCTTGGCATGAACTCCGAGCATCGCTGCGTGAATCTTCCATCGCCAGGTATTCTCAGGGCAAACCTCATAGGCACCTGGCCAGGCTTTGACCCCCCATGACCGGTCAAAGCATGTCAAAGCCATTCAAACGTCCAAGTCTGGACACTCTCTGGGTGTTCGTTTCGACCGTGGGGTTCGGGGCGTTCAAAGTCGCCGACCTCTCTGGCAGTTCAGACCCGAAATGATAAAAATAATTGCCTGCACGTGTTATTTTTGATGCAATCTTTACGATCTTCACAATCACGGATGGTGCTGACATCTAGTCTTCCACATCTTCCGCCTTCTCCCACTTTCCGCTTTCTAGTAGACTAGAAGCTTGGGAATCGTTTCACTGGGAATCGTTTCACCTGCAGTAACAATGACGCTTTTGAGTATGTCTTTGAAGCTTCTTAGTAAGAAGAAGCTACTAGGTTGGAGGCCATCGCTGTTAGGGTGGAGGCCATCTCTGGTAGGTTGGAGGCCAGTACTACTAGTAACAAGAAGCTGTTTAGTATGTCCCGCTTCAGTTCCCAGAACTTGTTGGGATGGCCCAGCTGACCCCCTACTGAATGCCTCAGAGGTGTTCGTCAAGGTGAGGGTCTTGGAGTTCAGGAAGCCATAGCTCACCACACCAAAGGAGATCCGGTCCAAATCGAAATGGAAGGTTGGAGAGACCTCAGGTCCAAGAGTTATCTTCAATCTGTATTGATACTGATCGCTACCAAGAGGCTCCGAAGGTTTGTCCTTTTCTGTTCCTCTTTATTCTCTCTTTGTGCGGGTTCTTTCAAAGACCTTGAGACCACTCTTGAGACCCTATCTGCTTCCCTTTGCGCCCAGGTGCCGAATGACCCCTGAAGCTGAGCCCGATCTTCGAGGTGCTGCCTCGGCTCTGAAGGCTATCTCCCACACAATTCGCATACAGTACACCCTGGAAACTGGTTGAATTCAGCTGAAACTGGTCGGAATTGAATCTTGAATCAATGGCAAGCCGCCAATCAGTTCCCAATAGAATGTCTCCTGAAATTCACCCAGCAGGTCTGGACCTCAAAACTAGAAAACGTTGGGCGCGGCGTTTGGAAGAACATCAGATCACCCTTGCAGGGCATCGACTCATGTTGGTTCAACTTGGCGTAGCATGCATCAACTCCGGATTGCTGAGGGCTCAACAAACCTCCACCACAATGGTGCACTCACCTTGGTCAGGAGAACATCATCAGAGGACTGAATGGAACTGGAAGCACGGAAAAGCATGGAATCACAAGACTCACACATTGCATAAAAGCTGGGTCAAACATTCTTGCCGGAACAAGCCTGGAGCAGCCAAGTCAAGCCAAGACACCCCCCAACTTCCAGTCGTCCATCACTCGGCATGAAACTGAAGATCGATCCGAATGGCGAGGAATTTGGTACCTGTCGGGGCTGGGTGCCCAGGTTCGACTCTTTTTTGCTGTGGCCTCAATGATCCCAAACTGAGATCAGCTCCAAAAGACATGAGATGAGTTCCATCACACGATAGCAGCTCCACCACTTCGACACTCATAACAGACCCTGATGAAAGTGGACCCTGATTGGTGTCCTTTCCAAGTCAGCGTGCACAGTCCCCGTCCCAAGAATCACACCATTCTAGATCTTGAAATTGAAAACCCTTTTAGTGCCCAAAAGCTGCTCCCTAAGCCTTCAACTACCCGGCTGTGTGCGCGCCCCCCCTTGCCATTCCACACCGGCCAAACCGAAGTTCTCTCAGGGCCCAACAAGGCGAAATTCCACATCGATGTCTCCCTGGTTGATGAGGTTGACCTCTTCAGATGGTTGGAGGAGTGAGATGGAGTGAGGCGATGCCCTTTGTTACTAGTAGCGTCCTTGCTCCTAGTAGTACGGCGGCCAGGAGCCCCTAGTAGCGTCCTTAGTAGCGTCCTTTTCCATTTAAATTTGTCTTGATTCTAGTGGTCAAGGCAGCTTCCAACGTTTTGTCAGTGTCACCTCGTACTGGTGCACGGATTCCACGAAAATATCTCCCACATCCAGCTCATCATAGGAGAAGGCAGCCTTGGGCCCTATTCCTGTTCCTTAGAATATGTCATCAGGTCGTGGAGTGTGGAAGAAAACCCAATGAATAGGGATGGCCTCCCCCTAGCAGCGGGAAAACACTATGATATAAATTGGTGTCATAGACTTATCTTGTCCAAGGTGACCAAGACTCAGGAACACCTGCAATAAAGAAAGCATTCGCGCTGTGCCTTGCAAAGCTTCCTTTCAAAAGCAATGGAAGACGCTCAGCCCGGCCAACCACTGAGCAGTATGCAAGGCATTGGTAATTCAAAGCAGCCTGAAAGCTCGCCAGCTCAGTCAAACCATCACAGTCCGGACGACTGCACGAATTAATATCGCGAATCACGTCTACTGCGTGTTGGGATTAACAACAGGTTCCAGTTCTGCACAATGTCACAAACCTGAAGAGGATCTGACGTTCTGCACTCAAACTAGCCGAATTGCACCGGATGTACTAGTTACATAGTCGGCAAAGCATGTAGTGAGTACATGTTCTGGGAGGAAGGTTGCTATGTACATACTTTGCGCTAAAGAATGTAAATGTGACATCGCTGACTGGGAAGGGTACATTGGAACAACCCGGGTGCACTCGTTGGCAGGCAAGAAGATGCGTGATCGGCAAATCTGGGGGGTAAATTTACCCTCCGCTTTTGTATGTCTTGAGAGGTAAGCATTTCTGACATCATACGGACTGTACATACACTAGGGCGTCCGTAGTGTAGGAGAAGCACGGGTAAAAGGTATATGGAATAGAGTGTCTTGAGGAAATAGCCTGTGTATGGTTATAGCACGCCTGGGGAGTAAATTTACCACCCGCTTATGCATGCATTAGGTTAGAAATAGGGGTAAACAACTTGTAACGGTGAAGTACAAGTCCTATGCAGCAAGCAGCAGCCAGCAGCAGCAGCAGAAGCAGCCGCCTGCAGTCAGCAGCCAGCAGCAACCGCCAACCAGCAGCCAGCCAGCAGCACCACGCAGCAGCAGCGCAGCACCAAGCCGCAGCAGCAGCAGCACCACCGGCAGCAAGCAGCAAGCAGCAGCAGCAAGCAGCAAGCAGCAAGCAGGAAGCAGCAAGCAGCAAGCAGCAGCAGCAGCAGCGGCGTCGTCAGCAACAGCAGCAGCAGCGCCAAGCCGCAACAAGTAGCAAAGCAGCAGCTACAAAAGCGGCAACCAGCGGAAGGAGCAAACAGCAGCAGCAAGCAGCAGAGCGGCAGCAGCAGCACCGTTTACACCAAGCCACCGTTTACACCCAACCAACCACGTTCACACGTTCAACCAACCCCCGCTACACGGCGCAGCTGGGAGTCGAACCGTGGGGGGGGGGGTAGCGTGATATATCAAGCTTTAAGGCACACAGCTCATCCCACTACCAATTGCTAAAGCAAAGAAGAACTCAGCTAGCATGCTAGCTTTCGTGAAAAATTGAACTTTTTTCCTGTTGCATGAGGGCAAATAGCGTCCAGGTCTATTGCAAACCTCTTCTCCCGTTCGTGCTCGTGTCCAACAGGCCTTTGGCGTGAAGGTAAATGTAATTGCAATCTTGGACTTGGCCCAAATGCGCCCAGACAGTGGCTCGACGGCAAAGATCTCATCATAGAAGAACATGGGGTCCTGGCCACAGCAAGTCAGCTCTCCACCGGCATGGTGCCTGTGTTCCGAGGTCCAAAAGGTGGCTCCATGTGGCTCCGGGACTCCAATCCTCCAGGATCGCCTTGGTAATGTTCTTGTATCCTTAGTCATTTCGATGTAGCGCTATGATTCAAACATCATAGAAGCGATTCAGAAAGGTCTATAAGACGAAAACAAGGAGGGAAAAGACTCGACTTTTCCGGCATTTCCTTGTAAAAAATCGCAAGTCACACTATCTCGCACTGTGTTACACTGCATCACACAGATCACAAATCAATCTGGAGTGAAACTGTAGGGTAAGGAACATGGAAGCAATGCTTCAAGCTTGGGAGCCTGAGCAAATACCCTTGAGCAGTGATTTACAATGATTGGACAGCCATCGCTTGCAGTGATGACATTGTGCCCTCTCGGCCAAGTGATGCCCAGTGTCTTCTTTGGAGGGCCCCTTGGGCCATCTCAATTCCTTTCAGCCTCGGCAAAAAATGGTGACAAAAGACACAACATTCAACGCCTTTTATCCAGCATTTGGTTGCTGGTGGCCTCATCCTTTTGCTTCCCGCAGCTTGGAAAGAAAATGAACAGGACAATATGACAGCATGTGTCTGTTCGTTTGATATGTTTTGTTTTTCTTCAACACCTTTATAATGCCTTTCATTCCTTTCTTGTCGTTTTACTTTTTCCTTCAAGTTCCAGCTATGATAGCATATATGATAACATTATAACCTTTTGGCCATCCATATCTCTGAATGTCGCTTCGCTAGATAATCCATGCTCTCAGCAAACTCAGGACGTGGCGATGTACACCTGGTATCATACTCTTCGGAAGTATCGCTCAAGACCGACTCTGCCTCTGACTCGCCTCCGCGCCGGGGTGCGCCATCCCAACATGTCAACTGCACTTGCACCCGGCCTGCGGAGTGTAGCTCTTGTATAGCTGAAGCCTCGTCTTGTTCTTCTTGTTTCAGCTGCACCTTGGAACGAAGTCTTCAGCAGGCTGCCACAACGTGAACCACCACATTCAATGGCATCCCAATGGATATCTACTCACTTGACAAAAGAGGTTCCTAACTTTAACTTCACGAGCTCCCCTGCCTGTAGCTTCAACTTTTGGCTGATCTCCTCTCAAAGACCCAAAGGCAAGGATGACTAGATGGCAAGATTCAGGTTCACTCCTCACCTTTTATCCAAACTACAAAGGCATTGGCTTACAGTGGTCACAGGGCCAACCGAGATGTTGAAGATTGGAGGCCATCGCTATTAGGTTGGAGGCCATCTCTGCCGCTAGGGTGGAGGCCATCGCTAGGTTCCTTTTCACCTGCGCTCCTCCTGGATGGAGGGGAAAGCACGCCAGCTAAAATCCACCGGAATCTCTGAGTTGTTGTGGATCACGATCGTCTTCTGCGTCGACAAAGCCTCAAAGACATGCGACCCATGGCGCATGGCGACGCATGGCAACGCATGGCGACGCGGGGTAAGGTGGAGCCGGGCATCCCATACTGGTCAGAATCAGTCACAAAATGCATCTAAAACACGATGAAGGTATCCTCCAATTGCAGCTGGCTTGCCTCGAATGTTGAGCACTTCCAAAGATTTGAAGAACATGAGCGCATACAGAGCACAAAATGTATGCATGCCTGTGCATGTTTTGCTCCTCTTGTCTTCATGTGTATGTTGGTGCACAACAATCCAAAACAAGGCGCGCCAGCAATTTCAAAAAGAGAAGGGTGCAATGATGCACCCTGGGGGCAGTGATGTACCCGCGGAATATGTTGGGGTGGTTTGTGATTTGGCAAGGTGAGTGGTGATTTGTGACGCGGTGTGTGACTTATGGTGTAGTGACGCGAATTATATTTGATTTGTGAGGTGGTTACATGCATTACAGCAATGTAGTGAAGCGTGACGTGCGAAGTGACGCGACGCAACCTGATGTGTGGTGATTTGGTTTGTAACACATTCCGTTTTGAGCTGTGGTTCGGAGAAGGGTATAGTGGTGACCATTGGTAATCTCTCTAAACCCTGCCTCTCTCTCTCTCAAATGTAAACCCGGAAATCTCCACTGTTTTGGGGGGATGCAGCCCTTGCCAATGCATTTTGAAACCATACACTGCCATACACTTCAAGTACTCACACTTGATATGGAACCCACTTTGGCACTCAGTTGCCAATGCATTTTGAAAGCTCCAGTTGCATTCACCAACGTAATTGAGCTAACTTAATAAATTGAAGGCCGTTCTTTGGCAATCCGACACTGTACGCCGCCGCTGCCACCACCTGGACTTGGCTTCTGACTGTTGCAGAAAATATGGGGAACAGCAACTATATACCAGAAGGCTAGGCTTGACAATGTCCGAAAAATACCGCAAACAGCATGTGTCTTGGAAGAAATGGAAACCACAAATGTGATCTGTCTGATCCATTTTCTGCACAGCGTTGATTCTTGCAGTGCAAAAAAAACACGTGCCTGTGAACTTTTCTGATGGGGTGTTAAGTCACAACTTTGAATATAGCTGTATATACCGGTTTCATATTCGCCTTAGCACAAACATACTCTTTCTCCCAGTATGAGCAACATGGACTCGCATGACCCGCTTGAAATGAATTTCTGTGGCCGAGCAGCCGAGAAAGTCACATTGACATTCCTTGGGGGGCCCAACATTGGGCCACTCAAGCAGCAAAGTCGGGATTTGACACCCGCACTGATTTAAGAAACCAGGAAAAAAACGTTGGAATCATTGGGAAACCTCAGGGTGCAATGAAGCATAGCAAAACACAACCTGGGAATGCAGGGAAAGGAAAAGCCAGCACCATGCCCAAGAACAGTCGGAATTTGCCGTGGTCTGTCGAAGGTCTGTCGAAGGTTGTTATGTTGTGTCCCACTTCATCTTCCAAGGAATCGTGCATGTAGAATTCAACGCCCAGGAAAAGAGGGACCAAGACTTGTGTTTATCCTCATGCTTTAAAGGCTGCAGCCACTCATGCGCCATCACTTCTAGGAGGTTAGCTTGCATAATTGGAAGCCCCTTCATTCCACGACGATTTGGGTGGTGCTTGCAATTTTGAATTTATGTTAGGTCCCTTGTTGAGGTGCATCACATGAGAAAGCTGCTCCAACGACCACGGCAGTTGTTTGGGTGTGAACATGTGGGGGCAATCATTGGGCACGCTGACAAGAGCGCCTCCAACGATTGATGAAGCACAGGGCTGGGTTCCTTGGGTGAGGAGCCTGGACATCGATAGTGGCTGGGCGCCGGTTCTCCCAATAGCCACAGCCAATGAGGCTTCTAGCTCCACAGGTGGGTCAGACGATGCGTGACACTGGGAATGATGAAGGTGAACTGAGGTGAGTAGCAGGACATCTGGCCACAAAGAGCGACAAACCAGGCAGAAACAGCTAGCAGCTCCAAAGATTGAGAACCAATTCCCATCTGCATGTGATCTGCCAGTCAACAGGCGGAATTGTCAGGCAAAGCTCTCAGCTCTGCCGCGCAGGGAGACATAGGCCTCAATTCCATCCCCATAGATCACAACCATCTCTCGCCTTAAGTCATCAATAGTCATCAAGCCTGCTGTGAATCAACAAACAACGGAAGAATTGACATGAGCAGCATGGCACGAAGACAGAGAGAGAGAGAGAGATATATGAAAATTGATGAAAACAAACAATGACCTAAGTTCAAAGTCAAACTTGGCCCGCTGACTCATAGGGCTCTGCTTTGTCGGGTCTGAAAACCACATCTACCTGCAATCAAAAACTGAGATACAGTAGGTCAGTAGGCCTTTACAAGCCCATCTCAAAACTGTCAGAAAAGCTCTGACACCAACAAAGCTGTTCCCAAGCCTGCATGATCTCGCCAACCTCGAGATAGCCATCTTGAATGGACGTGCTGAAGGGTGGCGGAACCTTGGGAAATCAGGGGGGCTCCAACGGGAGGCTGTGATGGCTTGGTGTATTAGTATTATATGGCAGGCTGTATTTGTCGACCATCCAATAAGGTCTTCGTGTCGATTCTGATCTCGCTCCTCCCTTTTGTGGATGTTGGATGGTTAACAGTTCAAACACCTGGACCAGCTCCTCACCTGGTCATTGCCACTGTTGACTACATTGCAATGTTTGGTGCTGAGGCCATGGCCTTGAGTAAGAACTTTGTGGGTTTCTCTCCGACATTGCGGACCTAAGTGCAGGTAACACATGGTTCTGTTAGCTGCCAACTCTTGCGGCATCGCTCTTAACATCCGTGCACTCTGCATCACGGGCTCGGTGCTTTACGTGACATACTGTGTCTGTAAGTCGCCCTCATGGCCACCAAGGCTCCATAATGGTTTTGGGCGCCTCGTACTTCACAGGTGACAGGCCGAAGTCTAATTCATCGGGCATGTCCAACAAAGCGCCACCGCCCGTGGCACGGATGGGCACCAGGAATCGTTCGCGCCTCAGAAGTCCAGCCACTCGGGTCCCTGCCAGCAACGAAGGGCTTAGAGGCTTAGAGTCCCGGGAGTTGGATGGAGCTTCTGCTGAGCAGCTCGGTGATCACCACCAAGTCATAAGAATAGTCTTCGACCTAGCATCACATGAGTAATGGTTGCAGTAAAGAATGTGCCGGCAACCGTGTACAGTAGACTATTTGCAACTTACAGAAAGTTCAGTCATGCCTGCTGATCTGGAGTGAAGCGCACCTCGAGTCAACATCGCAAAAGGTTGACAAAGGGCTTTCCGCAATGCCTTTTGGCGGTTGCATCGAAAAAGAAAAGACTGGCAGCTTGGCATTTGTCTGTCACCTAGCACTTCTTCTTAGGCAAACTGGCAAGTATGGAAGACCATCAGCAAATGAGCATGCAGGGAAAGGAGATGAAAGCAGGCGTGCCACGGCCACCGCCAAATACAGCCAAGCTGCTATGTAGGACACCTCCATTCCAGGAGCTACCTCACCACGGACGTCATCACCCCTTAATACTGAAAAAAAATACTAAGTGTTTAGAAATCAAAAAGGTGCTTAAATTAAAACAATCCGTTCTTTCTTTTGGTTCTTTTTTTTCTACTTGAAAGAAATCATACTGTTCATTTGTTATCACTAAATCATGAGAACCCACCCAACACCAAGAAGCTTGCTTGCATGCTCTGAGTTGCGAGGGGATGATGTGGAATGATATGGAATGACGGAATGACACAAACAAAAACTCTATTTCCCCGAGCCCTTCGCTCTTCTGGATTCTTGCATGCGCTTGCATGTGCTGGCAGGCAGTAGCTTCCACTACTTAGCTTGCTCCTTAACTTATTCACTGCCCCTCATACTACGGCCTATCCCTCCCCACAGCGTTGTCATTTAACGCCTTGTTGTCTCCAGCGTCAGCTTTGCGGCCTTTGCCCGGCAAGACCTTGAAAAAGGTGCTATCTGGCTGCAGGATTTTCACCTCAAGGAGGCGTTGTTGCTGCTACTCTGCAACTGTAGCGTCCTTGCTCCTAGTAGCGATGCCAGGAGCCCCTAGTAGCTTCTTGTTCCTAGTAGAAAAGCCCTTCTCTCCTAGTAGTTTTCCTCTATATGTTCATTCTTTGAAGCTTTAGTGCAGCTGACAGGCCCTTCTTGCCACATTGTCTTGATTGCGCAAGTTCAGTGTGGCATCCAGGTTCTGCAGACTCTCCTTTGCCAGATCATTGCGCTGTGAAGCATTTGAATTCAAGAACTCACTGATTCATCACCGGAAGAACGAAACATTGCGCAGTCGAGCTGCAAAATTTGCAAATCGAATCTCGGAAGGACTCGCTTTGAAAAGCGGCTCGTCCATTGGAACCACCGAGTCCACCTGAAAAATGAGAAAAAGGAGGCGCAATGGCCTCCAACCTACTAACCACTGCTCTGCTACTTTTCACTCAAAATATTCTTGGAGCAGAGCCAAAAAAAAAGATCAAAAAGCGGTGCTTGAAGCAAAGGGAGTGGTTCTGAAGAAGGCATGCTGTGAAAAGCTACCCAAAGTCTCTTCCATTGATTTAGTTGCGTGGCCCACCCACTCCACTTTCAACAGGGCCTGATGGGTGAAGTCTGTAACAAGGGCATCGCTACTAGTAGCTGGAAGCTACTAGTAACTACTTATTCAGTTACTAGGAAGAGCGGTACTACTAGCGATGCCCTTGTTACTACTAGCGATGCACTTGTTACTACCAGTGATGTAGGGAAGAGGACTCTCCCTTTAAGTCTGAAGGCTAAAGTTTAGGTCCAAAGAGGTGAAACCAACGTGAAGCAGGCGGCCTGATGCGTGAAGTCGTTCATGTCTTGAAAAGAAATAATTCTCGTTGTTGCCAGGTCCTCCAAAAGATGCATTCCAACGCTCATCGCACGGTGAATGTACGGAAAGTCTGCCGGTCGTTGAAAGTGTGCTATGTTGAAGCCCGCCAACTGTGAAAGTTCTTGGAAGAGGATACCACCATCTATATATATATACATATGTATATATATATGCAGTACACCGTACACCTATCTATATATTATATATATGTGTGTGTGTGTGGGCCGTACGTGCTATCCTCAAATTCAAGAGACAGTCCTGGCGCTCCAGCGTCATGAGCCCACCAGCTTGCCGAGCGGCTGCAACGATCTGGCAAAATCGTCAAGTTGACCAAGGTCTTTTTGGCACTACTACTGCTAAAAGAGAGAAGGAGAAAAGTGGACATGCGCCTGACACAAAATCCAGCCATGTCAATGTCAAAGCATACTTTTCGGGCCTCGCTAGGTTTGCGCTTTACACTTGGCGCTGGTGTCAGTGTGGTGCCTTAGCTGCGCTGTTGATACATCAACGCATGACTTGTCGTTGGAAGGTATCAACGAATGTGAGCAAGTTGAATTGCTAAAGCTGAAACAAAGTAAAACACCATGGCGGCCATCGCTATTAGGTTGGAGGCCATCGCTTTTAGGTTGCAGAAGAAGTCTAACGCTTAAAAAAAACAAGAAAATTGTGGGAATACCATGGTGCACTGATGCCGTGGTGAGTTGCAAGTGTTTGCAAGTGAATACTTTCTCCTTCATTCGTCCCGTGAGGGATCAGGGCAGTCACTCACAAAGGCCGAGTTCCAATCCATCCTTTCTAAGAGAAACACATTGCAACAATGCGGTTGCAGCAAAGAAGTCACAGCCCTACAGCCCTGTTGAACCGTGTTGAACTATCGGTGAGGCTCCAATCCACATAATTTAGTCAGTTGCTGAGGAGGGTTTCTGAGTGGACCGTCTGACTGTCAAGAGTCATCAACTGTTGAATGGTTAAACCATGTTGAACCCAGATACTTGGCAGAGTCTGCATCTTTGATGCTGGACCTCTATCGCTTGAAGTCCCCCTGCCACAGAGCAGCCCGAGAAGCACAGAAAATAACAATATGACAAGATGTCCTCAAGAAGGTCCTAGCCAAGCCTTCCAAAAAAGCATCAAAAAAACAAGAGCTGAACATGTCCAAAACACCTGTATAATAGATCCTAATTAATAGGTTGGAGGTCATCGCTGCTAGGGTGGAGGCTATCCTGACATCAGGAATCTCCCCACCTGGCGCTGAGAGGCGCACCTAAGCTTAAGCTCGGGCAGTGTGCTCAATTCCTTGAAAGGGCTGGGTTTCTTCCAATAGACCCCGGGACTATCGAATGCAAAGCCTTCTTCGAATGCAATGTGCGCCTTGGAGCCATGTTCAAACACGTTTCGGGAAGGCAAGCAGCCTTTCGACCATGCACGATCCGTGTCCATAAGTTGGAGGACTGGTAGGACTGGTAGTCGAAAAAACGGATTCTCTTCATAAACCTAATAGCAATGGCCTCCAACCTCAAACCTGCTAGCGATGGCCTCCGACAGGCCCTTTGTGCTCAACAGAGACATGTCACTGCAACGAGTGATGAGCGCACTGAGGACAGTGCCATAGCCAGATAAGTCGATCCGCTTTGGGCCGCGCGCGCTGCGTGCGCCAGATTTCGACGCACTAAGCGCTGACATGCTACTCTACCTCAGTGACTTGAAAACATTGAAGACTTACTGTATATAGATAGAGGTAAAAAAGGACAGAACAAATCTTCCCCAAAGCGAGGCCGAAGCCATTGTTGAATCAATGCCCAAGCCACAAGCAGCCCCCCCTGTTTCGAGGGCCACGCATTGGGGGGTGCAAGCTGCTCCCGGTTGAACTAAGAACTGCAGAGGTCAGTGGATTGCTACTAGTATCTACTTGCTCCTAGTAGTAAGGCCAGGAGCCCGTAGTAGCGTCCTTGCTCCTAGTAGCGATGCCAGGAGCCCCTAGTAGCGAACCTTGTTCCTAGTAGCGTCCTCTACCGCACGTTCAAAGAACTACCACGAAGCGATGGCGCAAGAACTTGATCAGTCTTGCCCCGTATACTCTGGCATGTAGATTGCTCGTTTCGGTTCCAGTAAGGTCTGCATTGCAATATGGCAAGAACAGATTTGCGAGGATATTCGGAATATGGCAAAGCGGCAAAACGTCTGATAGCTAACCATAGACCGTCATAGACCTATCCTTGTCAAATTCTTCCCCTGAATAAACCGCAAAAGGAACCCGTGCATGGTGTGTCAACACAGGGAACGTGAGGCCCGCACAGCTGCATAAACAAACAATGTTCGAGCCAAACACTTAGAACCCTAGCCACCTCTTTGGGCAAATAGGTGCAAATAGGCGGCACCATGTCAATTACATTCAATTACTAAGTCAGGGCATCCCTTGAATCCGATTGGGTGCCACCAACTCCACAGGGCGCACCTGGAACACACGTGAGCTCATAAGCTCCTGGGAGGATCTCCCATTCAGCTCGCATTCGGCACAAGGAAGGGAGCCGGGTAGGGGGCGCACCACACTCTGGGCCTTCTTGAGAGCATTTCAAAGGCCATTCACCTACAGTAACTCCTGCTAAGGCGATCTTACCATCTAGACTCAATGTTGCCTGAGCGCCGGTCTCTTCTCCTGCCAACTGGATGAATCCAAAGGTTGTGGTCTTCTAACTGCCGGCCTTGAGCCACATCTCTGCGACGGCGATGGACCACATGGCCAATGATTTCGGCTTACACGCCATCGAGATGTCTCCCATCTCTTGGGCAGCACCTAAAGCGGTCGATATTGTTCACGCATCCCTCTACAAGGCAGTCAGGGATCTAGGCGATCTAGGCATGATAGAGAGTGCGACGGCACAAAGCGCTCAAAGTGTTCGGTAAGCACTGCAGATCTTGGAGAGGTTCGCCTGACACACAAAGTTCATCAAGGTCCATTAATTTTAAAAGAGATGGAAAGAGGGAAGAAGCAAGCACCGCAGAACTCGTTTGGATGAGGGCATGGTCATCGGTTATTCCAGTCGCCCTCGCCACACTTAGTTGGCCTTCGTGCTATGTCGAATCCCCAACGTTCTGAGAAAGATAGGCCATGGCTGGGATTGGCTGACACCGTTACTGGCACAGCAACTTGGCTTGAGCGGCTTGAGGTTGTGGAGCTGCGCGGCTGCGCCAAGCAAGCCAGGTGGTGCATTTTGACGCACTTATTTCTCAGATCTCTGATTTCTCGGACAGATTGAGACATGGCGCCGGCTGACCAAACATTGAGTCACCTGAGCAGCCCCTCGCACCCTCACAGGTACAGAATAACATGTTGACCGATGTCATGTCGGCTCAGTTCGTGCACAACGACATCAGTTATGACACGCTCTAACTATGAAGTTCTGACATTTCATCGAACTCGGCTGGCTCAAGAGACCCCGCAGCTTTGCCAAAGGCCTGCTGGCAAGTGTGAAGAAGTGCAGTGTCTAGAATTGCTCTAATGGGTGTTGAAAAGCAGCTCCCAAGCGACCCTCAAAAGCGACCCTAAATTCCGGCCTTCAGCAACAGGTATTGCAGTGTAGTAGCAGCAATGGCCAAGGGGATGCCCCGGATTGCTTGTGAAATCAAGAACTGCGAGAACAAATGTTGAACATAGCCTCAGTGGCTGAACCCAGTAACAACAAGTAAACAAGAATTGCTTGTGCCGAGTGACGACAAATATGTCCGGAAGCTGCCAATCCCAGCGGGTATGCAATACACGCAATGACGACAGCTACAGCCACCACAAGAGCGGGCGCCTGCTGGAACCAATGAAATCTGAAGAAAAGCTTCGGCGAAAATCTGAACATGATGAACCAAATTGCTTACCAGCTCACTAGCTTCGTAAGCCTGTCCTCAGTCCCGGCCTACCCCCCCCGCAATGTACAGAAATATGTCCATCTGGTGTTCATCCAAAGTGAGACTTCTGAAGCAATCGGGATGCCTTCACCCGCCAGCGTTTCTGTAGGCGAGAACACGCCAAAGAGGAGCGGAAGAGTGCCAATGCAAGCATCCGAAGAACTCCCTCGACCAAGGAGGAAAGGATGGACACCAGCAGTGCACCTTGTGAGAGCATGTCGCATCTCCACTGTCCAAAGAGTCTTTATAAACACCAGGGCTGACAAACTTAGACTCAAGGTCACCCACTGTCCGGTATTTGCAGAAGCGAAGTGCTAGCGAAAGCCAACTGCAAGCAATATTGCAACATGCTACTAGTAACAAGAAGCTACTAGGGGCTCCTGGCATCGCTACTAGGAGCAAGGACGCTACTACGGGCTCCTGGCCTTACTACTAGGAACAAGTAGCTACTAGTAACAAAAAGCTACTAGGTTGGAGGCCATTGGCTATTAGTTTGGAGGCCATTACAAGAGGGCAGCATGTGCAGTGTTTCCTGACGTTGCCTGCCTTGCACGCTTGGGGCTTGTTGCCCAGAATCTTCGGATGTACGCTCCCAGGGCTGAGTGCTCACAGTGGAGTCCCAGTAGCTGAACATGTGGCCATATAGCGTGGAGACGCACATGGTCAGCCCCAAGCTGACGGTCAAAACCTAGGCATCTCTGGGCCAAGTCAACAGCTCCCTAGTCTACCACAGGTTCTGGTTCGGGCTTCGGGTTTTGCACAAGGCCTTGCTCGCATGCAGTGACCCTTGGAAGGCGGAATCGCTCTGTTTTAGCAAAAAATGGGTTGCAAAAACAGGGTGAAGCTTTGTAAAGCCTTCTTGCGGTCTGTTCTTCCTGGATACGAAAGCTAAACACAGATTCTAGATGGCAAATAGCTTCCAACAAGTGACTAGGCAGCGGAACTTATACTCCAAGGGGTCGTTGTGCCAAGGGTTCCATGGATACGTCATGATGCATCCGTGCAGTATCCAAGTTCGCCAGGCCTTGCAGTCAATCCCAAACCAAAGCTAATTTAATTGGACAATTTTTGCTCAACAAAGCATCACCAAATAAAAGACAGAGAGAGAGAGAGAAAGAGAGAGAGAGAGAGACAATGTGCCAAACCCTGCATTTTACCACAGACTCATTACAAGAGCAAAGGCAAAGCATTCCATAACAAAAAACTTGCACTTTCTTCAATCCCTGGACCTCTCTTGGTTTCAGAGGCCTTCTGCACTGCGCCAGTTCAGGGGCCCATGCTGCATCCCATGCAACATTTGAGGCATGGGGTGGCACTTCGCGGCATAAAGGCTGTGAAAAGTGAAAGCCGCAAGCCAATAGCCTAAAGTGGGAGCTCTCAAATCGCTCCATCAGCGTCGTTCGTTCCAATTTAAAGATTGAATCAAACCTAGACTTCGTGCATCCTCGTTGGGTTGGAGGCCATCGCTAACCCTGTCAGCTCCAGAGATGCTCCCAAGAGGCGCGGCAACAAAGAGCGCAAGCCCAACAAATGCCCAGGGCCGGCCAAAACACCGGTCCATGCACGAAGGAACGCTGATGAGCGACTCGTCAAAGCGAAGCTTGACTCTCGAAAAGCCCTCCTGGAAGGTGAAGGAATTGAAAACAAATTGAACAAAGAAAGGTCTTTAAACAAAATAAAGAACCGCAATCAAAACAACACAGAAACATCAACGAGAATCTCGCTTTCTGAGAAACACTTTGCGGAGTTGAGTCCGGTATGGCTTCGTCACCCTGCAATCCAAGGCAATTATTCTCTAAGCGCCCCAAGCCGGCTGGCGTGCAACCCAAGATGGTGACAATATGCCTTCAACGCTTGTACAAACTTGTATATACAAACTTAATTTTCCTTCTAAGGTTATACTTATACTTGTACAATGTTCCTTTCTGCTTGGCGTGACTCGCATGTTGGTTTGAGAAAACAGGAGGGGGTGGGGAGGCCTACCCCCTCTCCACCAGTCGTGCTTTCTGTGGCTGGCAAGTGAGTGAGCTTCAAACAGTTCAAGTTTGGCTGGTTTGGCATTGACATCGACCATTTTGGCTGACCGAACATAACAAAGCCGCCTTTCTCCACCCTTCACCTCGCTCAAATGAGGCAAGTGATGAAACATTCATCCAATATAGATTGTCTCTCAAATGATGGAGCGCTAACCAAGGATCTAACTTCGTGGCAGGCATGAGTTTTGAAGGTGCTCCCAAGGTCCTAAAGAGGCCTTTCGTGTTGTAAACATAGGAGAAACAAAGACATACAAAGACCCTTTGGCAAAGGACAACACTTTGAATAGATGTTGTGCCAGCTGCAGAACGAACATCGCACATCTTGAGCAAAATGATCCCCGGCTGCACTCTTATTCCAAGAATAAGGATTTGCTAAGATACACCACTTACATGTCACCCAGAATCTACAAGTTGTGCAAGGATTCAAGACTGTCAGACCCCCAGCTGAAAAGTATAAATCTTAAATCTTACAGTAATCATTCCACCTCTTGAATACGTGCAAAAAATGTCAGACAGATTCCTCAAACTTGACAATGTCCCGAAGCAGCAAGTCTGCGCTTTTAGGGCCCTCAAAACATGTTGCTCAACAGGCCAAGCCATCCTCAAAAGCTGTAGAGTGAGAATGGGCTGGTGCAGTGGCGCAGTTCTTTTCCAAATTGTGTTGTAAGGTATGGCATCTGTATGAAGAAAATACTGCACTGAGAGGTGCCCTTTCCAGGGATTGGCTCCAAGAGTGATATTGGTTTGCCGAGTGGCACTGCGAGCAGGAGGTCAGGGTGTTTAGATTCACCACCACCACGCAGCTTCTGTTGCAGCGCTGTGCTGTATGGATGGCAAAGTTATGGTTGCTGTATTTCTGAGCCAGCTTCACAACGCCATGCGTCTGAAAAGGATGAGTCATGACGCAGTGTCACTAGCAAGTCGGCAGACTGCTAGTCGAGATGTTTGCTACTGTTACTGCCGTTCACTGTGTTTGAAATGCGTAAGTGGTGCTCTTTATGTGCTCTTTGGTAGTTTCTGCCTGTGGTGAGGTGGTACACATGCCCGCACGCCACGCCAGTGGTCAGAATGTGTGTTTGTGTCGGAAATTCGGAAGTGATGCGGTGCGTTTTGAGTGACGGTGAGTGGTACGTTTGACCGGTGGTGCCTGGTCACTTGTCCATATATAGTCATATGCCCTGCCGGAAAGCAAGTAGAAACACGAGGACGAACACACCATGCAATGCAAAGGATAAATGATATGTTCTTCTTGAGGGTGGGCAACGCGCCAGCGGCCAGTGAAGCTGAACACTTGCAAATCTAATAGAACCTATGAGGATCTAGAGTAGTTGGTTTGAAACAAGTTCCTGAACTAAATACAGTAACTTGAACTATATCTTGAATTCACTGAGTCCTTGTTGCTGGCGACCAGGATGGTCACGTTTTCATCTACAGTGGGAAGTTGACTTTGAAGGAAAAAGGCATTGCAATGTCTGCAGTCAGGCCGCACCTGGCGTGATCTTGCTCTGCTCCTAGAGAATGTGAAAGAGTTACTCTTGCGTGCAGAGAGTGAGTATGACACAACGCATTCAGGCAATCATGTGACATCTATGGCGCCTAAGCCAAATGGGTCCGTGCCAATCAATTCAAACCAACACGCTGCACACATGCGGCCACACAGCTCCACTGAACAAACTGAGGCGGTATCAGCTTGACTTTGGTTGAGAAGCACACCAGCAGAGAGCAAAATTCGAATCTGTTGTCTCTAGAAAAATAACATGTGTCTGAAAGCTAGTGAGCGCAGCGACGCAGCCTTTTCTTCAAAATGC